TTTTTTTACATATTTCTTAACACACTTTTCATACATAATTCATTCGACTTATACTATCAAATTCATTATCAAATAAAATAAATTTTCATAAATTCGTCAACATTATAATTAAATTATTTTTACAGAATAATTAGCACACTTTCATACAAATATCATTTACTTTATTCTATCAAATTTATTCATAAAATCACATTAAATTTATAATTTCACAAAACAACAACCATATACAAAATAAACAAATAATAAAAAAAACACTAATTTTTTTACATTTCACAACAGTAAACATAATAAGATATCAACAGTTAACAAATATGACCCCACCTTCAATTAATCGACAGTTTGATCATTTTTGTTTCATTTCGCTATCATTCTAAAACAAACGTTAAACAATAATAAATACTAACCCGAAGGATCTCATCTTTCACCATGTTTGATTAAAACTGATACGTAGTTGTCCATCACAACAAAATCAAGAATTTTCAAAGATGAAAAAAACTTCAATTACTCGAATGTGGGATTTTTTTTGTTGAAAATTGAAGAGAGAAACGTTGAATTATTTTGTTGAAAATTGAAGAGAGAGAAACGTTGAAAAAAGAAGAAGATAAAATCTGAATTTTTATTTGATTTTAACTGATTTGAGTGAATTAAGGATACTAAATAATCTTAATTAGTTTAAATCCCTTAATTCGTGCTATTTATTAATTATCTACAAAAAAATGATATGTGAAAAGAGGCGACTCAACCCCTCCAAGAACGCAGCAAGTTTTCTTCAGTTCCAGTCCCGAAATCGAAAGATTTCTCCATGAAATATGTCACCTATGTGAGATTTCACTAGTGGGTTCCTTTCGCCCATTAGGTCCCTAGAATTCAGTCGGATTCTTAATTCCCTTTATATTGTTAGACATAGGATTTTAAGAACTTTAGAGAATTGTTGCAATTTAGCTATTATAGTATCCTTAATTAGATTATCATAGTTTCGTAACATTGTTGCTTAGCTTCTTGCATGAAACTCAGAACCCTAGTTGTGTAGATTCGTTTAGTTCATGTTTTACACTTGCTAGGTCAGATTAAATAGATATATATGTTCTAGTTAAGAATGTTTCATTATCAGTACTTAAATGTTGCATTTTCAGTTAGCATGTCAGAATATTGAGTTATCCAGTATATTTCAGTTATGTTGTATTGTACACATTTTCAGTTGGGAGTAGGTTAAATACCGAGTTAGACTAGGGTCAGTCACCCTTATAGTCTCAAAACTACGTTCCCCCGTAGGTTTATAAGTCCCCTTTGTAGGCATCAAATTTAGTGATCATGCCAGTCATGCCTTTATACCCCTAACAAGGTATATTGGGTGCTCTCGATGGGGCGTATACATCGGACTCCACGTTTAGCTCACGTGGTTTTATGTCGGTTAATAGTAGCTCCCACAGTCAGACTCTAGTGCATTTGATCAGGTTTTCATTTATATTTCAGTTTCAACATGTTATTTACTTGGTCATTGCATTCAATTTAGTTAATATTCAGTAAGTATCAGTATCTTCATCATGTTCAGATTATATCATTGCTCAGGATGCTCTGTTCAGTTATATATTTGTTCAGTTTTATCCTATCTTGCATTCTCAGTACCTTTCAAGTACTGACACATACTCTGCGCTACATCTTCTCGTGATGTAGGTTCAGGTCCTCAGCATTCAGATCACGTGTAGATCGGTTCCCGATCCGTATTCAGCAGCTTTAGTGATGGGTCCTCAATACTTCGAGGACAATAGACATGTTTTATATTTCAGTCTTTCATTTTTAGTTTCAGTTTTACTAGAGTTAGTTGGGGGCATGTCCCGACATCTCTAGTCAATTAAAGGCTTATTTCAGACATAGTATTGGATTCGGCTTTAGATTTGAGTTTGATCTTTCAGTTGTTATTAAACTCGTAGTATATTTTATATGTTTAGACCAGTTTGAGTATTCCCCATCATTCAGTTTATCTCATGTTCTAAGCTTCCGCATAGTATCTCTTTATTCATTATATTTTACTATGCTTATGATATGTCAGCTCAGGTTTAGAAGCTAAATGGTTACCCATAAGTCATCGGCATGTTTTTTATTCCAATCCTATTATTAATTGTTGGAAAAACAATATTATTATCTCAAAAATACAATATTTATTCTTGAGAACTTTGAACTCAACAAACAATTGATGCAATAATCCGATATTTTTCAAATACAATATTGTCTACCTATAGTCATGCATGTACTAGGAGATAAAAGGAATTCGGGAAAAAATAACAAGTTTAGATAATTATAAAACATTAATGGGTGTCTTGAGTTAACCTTCTAATTTGCATTGATTTCTAATCTGTATATATTTTCTTGATTTGCTTAGTTAGCAGTTTGTAGACATAGAGATACACATTTACTAATTTAGTGTTAACCAGTGCATGTAGGGGTTTTTCTTGGGAGCATGTGGGCAAGGGAGGGATAATGATATGCTATGCGTTATCAAGTTGTAGACATAGAGATAACGACCGTCGGTGGAGTAGATGGATTCTCCGTTAAGATTTGTGCCCTTTGTGGAACAAGTCGTACCCGTCCGTGTAGTATTACTTACAAAAATTGCTATTTCCCCAATGCTTTCCGTCTCTATCCACATTTTTTTTTCAAAATCAAACTTGAGTACTTGAAAGTGGTATGGCATTGCATGGTCCTTCCCGTTAAAATACAAATGAACATAAAATAACATATCATCACTTGCGTTGGAGGATTGAATGATGTACTTCTCAAAGCGATTCATGTCCAAGTATCCTCCGAACATAATTGGAAATTCGTTAGCCATTAGTGTAACGGTTATTCTTCCTGAATCATTATCTGGATCCAAACAGAGTAGAGCATGTGTCTTGCAGGTTAATATATAAAATTTTCTCTTGAAAACGGTCCAGATTCCAAGACGCCAATCTCCAATAATTGATTGTACTTCTTGTTTATGAAACTCTTACATTATAACCTGGCTTGCAAAAGTAAAGAGTAGGCGGATTCTCATCATCCTCATCGCTCTCATCATCGTTCTCATCATCCACATCCACATCATTCTCATCATCCTCATCGTTCTCATCATACACATCCACACCATTCTCATCATCCAGATCCACATCCTCGTCGTTTTCATCCTCGTCCTCATCGACATTCTCAGTCTCTTTAATTAGAAAGAGAATTTGACATTCAGGATCATGGGAAGGTGCAGACAAGAGGCACATCATTATTCGCACTCAGTAGGAAGTGGCGGTAGCTGTAATTTTTCGTTGAAATAAGATTCCAAAGGTAACAATCACTAGAATAAATACTTTCTAACAAGAGCCACTCATCAGCATAAGCACGTATAAATTTATCTTTAAGTCAGGAATACGTCTCATATAATATCGATCTTCTGATACACTGAAAAAAGTCTGATTTTCCAGTTCCCCTCCAAAACAAATAACAAGCCAAGGGTGTTGTGCAGAATACGGAGGTTGAGCAGATTCCATATTCTTTTTTTTGTTGTATTCTTCCAACATCATCTCTGGTACCATTGCAAATTTGTATTTGTAAGAGAGAGAAAAAAAAACCAAGGAAGTTTTTTACCAATGCAAAACTCTGTTTTGTTTTCGAGGTTCTGAAAATGATAATTGCAATAATATGTGGTTAAAGAATCTAACTTTATATTAAATAATAATTAATGAGTTCAAATACCACAGGGAAAATAAATTAGAATAGATCTTGGACAAATAAATTTGTTTTCCTTCCTTTTCCATAAATATAGTTGGGATTTCCATAAATAAAAAACATTGCCTGTTAAATTAGTTCAAATACGTTAAAGAAAAGGACAACTTTTATTTGAATAAGCAAACAACTAACGCAGTTCTTGTTCTAATTTAAATAAATAGGGTAATAACAAGTCTATAACTTTCACAAAACAATTTTTTTTCTCAACGACAGACAATGGAGGATGCATTGTGGTCTTGTATTCCATCGGACATAGTAGGATTAATATCATCACGTCTCGTTGCCGCAGAATACTTTATTTTTCGTGCAGTTTGTAAAAGATGGCGCTACGCACCCATGATACCTCCACCTCGTCCTTGTCAACCAGAAAAATCGCCTTGTTTGATCACCTTGCGTGGAAATACCGGAATTGTAGAATTCTTTCATCCCGTGTACAATGTTGTGACGACTACGTCTATCCCGATCTTAAAATTAAGGGGTTCCCGAATTCGAAGTTCAAAAGCTAATTGGTTACTCATGAGTCAGGGTAACCGCGGCATGTTTTTTTTCAATCCTATTAGTAATGACATAATTGAACTCCCTGATCTACAACAACAGAATGAGAATTCTTTCTCTTCTTGGACTTTTTCATGCCCTCCCGACTCATTGTCATCTGCTTGCTTTGTTGTTGGTTTTCAGTATATTGGTAATCCCCCAATAGTATACATCATCAAGGTTGGAGACAATACATGGACATATTATAACTTCTACGATGACTATGACGATGACTATAACCTATATTTTAGTTCAACCGGATGTAATAACCCCATATTTTTCAACAACAATACTATCTACGTACTGGGAGATAAAGGAAATTTGGGAATACTAACCATCAACGAAAACTCAATTCCTAGTTGGGAATTTTATGGGAGCTACTTTAGGAGTCGAAAACAAAAGTCAATCCGACAAGTTTACACGGTAGAAGATGTCGACAATGAAGGAATGTTAGCTGTTTTTCTATCTCACCATGAAGGGGATGTAGTAGAGGTTTGGAAGTACAAAATGAATGGAAAAGTGTTGGAGAGGGAAATAATAACAAGTTTAGACGATAATAAAACATTGTTTGTGAGCTCTGGAGGATCATGCTTGAAAACATGTGTTGCACCTGGCCTACGAAACAAGATATATTTTCCAATGTTTCACAACAACAACAAAGGTGTTTTCTATTGTTTGGTCAATCGCAAATATTATTCTTTCGATTACTTTGGCCTTAAACCTTATTCAAGTCCAAATATTTTCCACTTAGTTCGACCAAGATCATGCATATGGATCGAATCAGAGAATGATTAATTGTATTCTCTCTTTTTTTGTTGTTTATTTTTTCAATTAGTTAGCTTGTCTTGATAAGAGTGGAATTATTTTGACTTTTTATGTTTTATTGTTATATTATGCAATTATTCACGTTTTTGTAACTATACTTTTTGAATTTGTTAACTTAAACCTACTTCATAGTAAAAATTACACTATTTGACCATAAATGTTATTAAAGTCCTACAAAAGATTTTTGCAAGATAAAACTTGCTTCAAAAAGTTGTATTTCTTGCTTTGTTTTTTGTACCTAGCAAGAGCTTTAAGAAAAAGTCCAATCTTTTTTACTTAATTACAAATCCTGCCCTGTCATTGAAGAATATGATGAACCTCACTTTTCTATTTGCCATAGGTATCATAAGACGTGGGCTTTGGTCCACTTCCGTTTTTTCCCTCTTCCGTGGCATAAATTTCATAGATATTTTCTCTGTTTCTATTTATTTATCAAATATATTTGACGAATAAAGAAAAAAAAAATTCTCCTATTATACCTTTAATTTATTAATATTAAATTAATATAAAAAGTAGTGAGTAAATATGTTCAAAACTTTATCAATTAGTAAGAGTAAAATGATAAACTCGTTATACCAATCATTATTTTCTTATGAGGTGTGTCAAGTCAAAATTTCAAAAGTCAAAAGGGTCGGAGGGAGTACATACTTCATCCGTCTTTTACTTGTCCATTATTTCAAAAAGAAAATTTTTATTTTTGTTGTCAATTTTCATATATTAAGAATAAATTTTTTTATAAATTATATTATTTGTTTAGTATTAATTATTTAACCTATAAATTATTATTTTAATGAATATATAAGTTCAAATATGACAAGTAAAAATTAGCTGACATAACATATAATGAGAAGAGATGGTAGAAAGGATAAATAATGAGAAGAATCAAGGAAAATGTATCCTCTTATTGGCTGAGAGTTTTCTCGAAAATCAATTCATATCCATTAATTATAATTAATAAAGTAAATGGTAAATGTTATCTTTAATTTGACTCTTATAATAATAAAATAATATTTTACTTTTTTAATAAATTATGAAAATTAATTATTTTTGCCTGCCTTTATCATTATCGTTAAATAATTCTATAAAATACTAATAGTCAAGTTAAACTCCTAGATAATTGAGAGACTAAAATTAAACTTAATTAGTAGAGTATGCACTATTTTCTTTATTTTTATCCTAATTGTTATTTTAACGAAAATTTATTAATTTGACTCTTATGATAATAAAATAATATTTTACTTGTTTATTTTAATAAATTAAGAAAATTAATTATTTTTGCCTGACTTTATCATTATCGTTAAGTAATTCTATAAAATACTAATAGTCAAGTTAAACTCCTAGATAATTGAGAGTCTAAAATTAAATTAATTAGTAGAGTATGCACATTTTCTTTATTTTTATCCTAATTGTTATTTTAACAATGATATATTAATAATAAATTTTAAAATATAATTAATAAAATTATTCCGTAATATATTTTTGGTAAAAAAACTAAAATAAGAACCTTGATGACTATTGAAAAAAATGTATCATCTTTCACTAATATATAAATAGTAATACTCTATATGTGTATAAAGTGTCGCTTTAACTATCTAATGGTATAATGTTTCCATGAGTATAATAATTTATTATTTGACAATCAACATCTATTCATGGATCGAGAGCGTATTCAATTTTTTGTATGAAATACTATGAGTATATGATTAATAATTACTTAGGATGTGTTTGTTAAGATTAAAAATATTATTTTAGAAATGATTTCTAGGAAAATAAATATGTTTCTTATTTATTTTCTTGTTTTGATAGGTTGGCAAAATTATTTTCTTAAAAGCATTTTTATATAATTTAGACAAATACTATAAGAGGTGAAGGTAGAGGGTAGGGATGTGTGTGGTGGTGGAGATGAAGATGGAGGGGGAGCTCCATATTATGGGGTAAAGATGAGGTGTAGTTGAAAACGGAGGAAGACGTGATCAATGTAGAATATCATGTGTAATTTATTTTTTTTCATACGTCTATTATAGAAATCATTTCCTCATTTTAAAAGGAAAAAAAATATATTGCAATGATTTTAACTGATCAAATATAAAAAAATTAACATTTTACATAACGAACACCATATTAGATCCATCAAATTTCTTTTCTCCAATTTCACGTAAAAACAAACTTAACAACAAAAAAGAAATAATACTTAATAATATTAGGTACGTGCTGGCACGGGCCATTGCTTTCTAGTAACAAGAGAAGAGGGAGTTCAAGAAGGCTTTAAACTTGATATTTGCTATTTTGTGGCAAAATCAAAGGCATCCAACCCGTCTAACTCATTCAAACCCGTTTAAGTTTGGGCGGAATTAGTTCAACTTGATATTTTGCCAAAATAGTTTTTCTTTTATTTTATTATTATTATTATTATATATTAAAAGCAAGAATTTCGATCCCTTAGAAATATTGATTAAACTTTTTGTCATTCATTAAAAGACTAGCATTAAGAAATCTAAAATATATGGAAAATATTAAATGTTTATTTTTATTATTAGAAGATTAATCTATTTATCTTTCACCGTGAAAGGAGAAAATTGTCAAATGCCCCCCCCCCCCCTTCCAATCTATTACCGAATTCCTAACTACACACTTAAATTTTACGGGAGTCTTATCACCCCCCAAACTATTTAAAACTGAAATTATCATCTCCCTAAACGATTATGTGGCAGAGTGAGTGTATTTCACTCTCCTTGAGAGAGTGAGCACCAAAATCAAATAGTAAACTCTTATTTTTAAGAAATGTTTGTATTTATAATTATTCTTTGTTCTTTATTTGTTTCTTTCTTCTTCATTACAACAAAGACCAAATTTCATCACTCACCATCTCTAAATTGCCACCGCCACTATTTCCGAAGAGTTGTGACTTTTTCAAAGAGTTGTGACTTTTCCAAAAAGTTGTGATTTTTTCAATAAGTTGTGACTATATATGTCCCTAAAGCCTTTAGCGACATTGGTTCTAATGGCACTTAACTAATGTCGGTAAAGACTTTAGCACTCTTTATTAATGTCAATATTTATTGTCGCTAAAAGTTGTTTTTGTTGTAGTGAAACCACATACTTTCTACCTTTCTAGTGTACAATCAAAATTAAGAGGCTCCCGAGTTCAAAGTTCAAAAGCTAATTGGTTACTCATAAGTCATCGGTATGATTTTTATTCCAATCCTATTTTTAATTGTTGGAAAAACAATATTAATATCTCCAAAATACAATATTTAATCTTGAGAACTTTGAACTCAACAAACAATTGATGCAATAATCCGATATTTTTCAAATACAATATTGTGTACCTATACTAGGAGATAAAAGGAATTCGGGAATATTAAACATTGTTTGTGAGCCTTCAACAAACAACAAGGTGTTTTCTATTGTTTGGCCAATCGCAAATATTTATCTTTTGATTACTTGGGCATTGAAGCTTATTCAAGTCCAAATATTTCTCTTAATGGGTCTCTTGAGTTAACCTTCTAATTTGCATTGATTTCTAATCTGTACATTTTTTCTTAATCTTAGGGGGTCTCTTGAGTTTAACCTTCTTTTCATTGATTTCTAAGATGTATAATTTCTTGATTTGCTTGTTTAGTTGAGCTTCTTTTTTCATTGTTTCGATATCGAGAAAAATCTAAGAAAGTTTTTCAATATTTTCTCAAGATGTTAGTACAACGAAAATAAAACGTTATAATAAAAGAAAGAATGTAAACCTAAAACAGAAAAATAACATCTAATGGGTGGGGTTTCAAAATACAAATTAATCATGAAGTTAAAGGTTGTTTAATTAGTTAGTTTGTGAAATAAAAAGTGACCAGTTTATGTAGTACCTTTTTAATAAGCATTATATATACTTTTTCTGTAAGAAGATTCACAAAGGCAAAAACGAGAAATAATGCATAATAATAGAGAAAATAATAGCTAGGAAGTTTACATGAAGTCTGAATGTGCAAAAACTATATCAAATAGCACAAAACATTTATTGTATACTAACAAAAAGCTAATTAAACATTTACTAATTTAGCGTTAACCAGTGCATGTAGGGGTTTTTCTTGGGAACATGTGGGCAAGGGAGGGATAATGATATGCTATGTGTTATCAAGTTGTAGACATAGAGATAACGACCGTCGGTGGAGTAGATGGATTCTCCGTTAAGATTTGTGCCCTTTGTGGAACAAGTCGTACCCGTCCGTGTAGTATTACTTACAAAAATTGCTATTTCCCCAATGCTTTCCGTCTCTATCCACATTTTTTTTTCAAAGTCAAACTTGAGTACTTGAAAGTGGTATGGCATTACATGGTCCTTCCCGTTAAAATACAAATGAACATACAATAACATATCCTCATTGGAGGATTGAATGATGTAATTCTCAAAGCGATTCATGTCCAAGTATCCTCTGAACATAATTGGAAATTCGTTAGCCATTAGTGTAACGGTTATTCTTCCTGAATCATTATCTGGATCCAAACAGAGTAGAGCATGTGTCTTGCAGGTTAATATATAAAATTTTCTCTTGAAAACTGTCCAGATCCCAAGACGCCAATCTCCAATAATTGATTGTACTTCTTGTTTATGAAACTCTTCATTATAACCTGGCTTGCAAAAGTAAAGAGTAGGCGGATTCACATCCTCGTCGTTCTCATTATCATTCTAGTCATCATCATCATCATTCTCATCGTCATCATCCTCATCCTCATCATTCTCATCATCTAGATCCACATGCTCGTCGTTTTCATCCTCATCGTCATTCTCAGTCTCTTTAATTAGAAAGAGAATTTGACATTTAGGATCATGGGGTGGTGCAGACAAGAGGCACATCAGTATTTCGCACTCAGTAGGAAGTGGCGGTAGCTGAATTTTTTCGTTTGAAATAAGATTCCAAAGATAACAATCACTAGAATAAATACTTTCTAACAAGAGCCACTCATCAGCATAAGCACGTATTATTTTCTCTTTAAGTTCAGAAATACGTCTCATATAATATCGATCTTCTGATACACTGAAAAAAGTCTGATTTTCCAGTTCCCCTCCAAAACAAATAACAAGCCAAGGTGTTGTGCAGAATACGGAGGTTGAGCAGATTCCATATTCTTTTTTTTGTTGTACTCTTCCAACTTCATCTCTGGTTCCTTCTCTGCGAAAAATAGAAACACAAATAATTAGACCTTTTAGAGAAAATTAATTTCCATTGCAAATTTGTATCTGTAAAAGAGAAAGAAAAAAAAAAACGAAGGAAATTTTTTACCCATGGCAAAACTCTGTTTTGTTTTCGAGGTCCTAAAAAGGATAATTGTAATAATATGTGGTTAAAGAATCTATCTTTATATTAAATAATGACTAATGAGTTCAAATACCACAAGGAAAATAAATTAAAATAGATGTAGGACAACGAAATTTGTTTTCCTTCCTTTTCCATAAATAGAGTTGGGATTTCCATAAATAAAAACATTACCAATTATATTTCTATTTAAATTAATAAATAAAAACATTGCCAATTATATTGCTATTTAAATTACTCTTTCGGCTGATCATGAGTTCAAATACGTTAAAGAAAAGGACAACTTGTTCAAATATGTGGTAGTGAAATCCTATTGGCATGCAATGTGGCATTCACATGACATTTAACAACTTTCGTTAATAACAAAGGTAATTTTGACCCAATAGTTTGATGGGAAGGGTAATTTTGAGCCGAAATATAGTTTAAGGGTATATATGAGCTATTTCGGATAGTTTAAGGGTATTTTTTACCCTTTTCTATTTAGTTTCTGTGGCAGTGGAACCCTATTAGCGTGCAATGTGGCATCCACATGGCATTTAACAACTTCCGTTAATAAGAAGGGCACTTTTGACCCAATAGTTTGACGGAAAGGATAGTTTTGAGCTGAAATATAGTTTAAAGATAAATATGATCTATTTCGAATAGTTTAAGGATATTTTTTACCCTTTTCCGTTCATTAAAAGACTAGCATTAAGAAATCTAAAATATATGGGGGGAAAAATGTTTATTTTTATTATTAGAAGAATAATCTATTTTTCTTTCACCTTGAAAATCTAAATTCTTTCATAGTTGTAGATGCAAAAACTTACTGTAATCGTGCTTCTATTTTCTCTACAAAATAAAATTAAAAATAATATATGGGATAAGGCACTAGTAGCCCCTAGACTTTGACCGAAATTACAGAGACACACATTTACTATACTAAGGTCCTACGACCCCTGAACTATTTTTTTTTGTAATTTTGTACACCTTTTTAGCCTACGTGGCCTCCAAACATCTCCCACGCGCCTCACTTAAGTGGAGTCACAGAGTGTGCTACGTAAGCCAAAAAATGTACAAAATTACACAAAAAATGTGTTTAAGGGGTAATAGAACTTTAGATTAGTTAAGATGTGTTTGTGTAATTTCGGTCATAGTCTAGGGATACTTGTGTCTTATCCCTTAATATATTATTAAGCAAAATATTAGTTTTAAGCAACAAATAATATGTAGAAAAGGAATAGAAGTAATTGTCAAAAAAAGGGGGAGGAAAAGTACGAAACTTTGGAAGTATTTTGATCATTTCAAATTTTTTATTTGTCTAACATAATTTAGTTTGGTAGAAGAAATAGAAATAGAACTTTAACTAAATACTATCTCTGAATTGCAGTTGTGTTATGACAGGTCCATTGGGTTTGCCAATTTGTTTGCCTAAGAAAATATTGATCGTTGCAAGTTTACCTACATTTTTTAAAGAAATTAATTTTTTGACATGTGATTGCCTATTCCAAAAATACATGTTGTAGTAAATACTATAATTTATTTAAGCAAAGATTTGAATAGTAAGTTTAGTATAAAACAATATTAACTGTTCAGTATAGATCATCATATATATCTCTTATTCACGTGAATCTATGAAGATGGTTAATGAAAATTCTTATTAGTTAAATGTAGTAAAGTTTATATTTATTTTAATTTGACGGTATTTGTTGTGTATATAAAAATACTAATACAAATTTCAGTTGGCGATATTACAAGTCATATGAACTTTTATTTGTCTAAAATATTAAAATATTTAGAAATAATAAATAAATCCTCCCTCTGTCTCATTTTATATGTCATTTTTTTTTTATGAATAGTTAGTCCGTAATACTTGTCATTTCATAAAATTATTCTATTATTCCCTTTTTACCCTTATGAGTTATTAACCTTAAAAATATACATTTAACCAACTTAGAAAAGGTAAGTAAATGATTCATGTTCATTAGTTAAATTAATTAATCAAAATAAATTAATTCATATTCATTAGTTGAAAACTTGAGTTCCAAAAAAATTAAATAAGAATAGAAAGATAAAGTTACATCATTTTTTTAATGCAAGTGCAAAGCAAAAAGATGATATAAAATGAGTAAAATTGGAAAAAAGTTTTTTATTGAATTTTAAACCAAAAACAAGATTAGGTTTGAAATAATGAACCAAACACTTAATTTAAAATAGTCCATGTATTACTAAACTTTGTACTAAACGGTCCCCAAGTGGACAAAAATGTAACAAATTAAAACTAAAAGGGTGAAACAAACACATATCTAAAGTTAAAAAGGTGAAATTAGGGTTGGGCACGGATAATCTCAGATATTTCCCGGATCAATTTACGGCAGCAATTATCATACTATTCACCAAGGAAAAAGAACGTTTTCAATCTGTAAGAAAGAAGGTAACCATCATAATCATCTTACTATTTTAATTCCCCAGTTTGATATTTTGCTAAATATGATTTGGTGAAATCCATTTTTACACAAGGACTTACTAAATTCCATTATACTACCATAAGTAATGCTGGGTCCATAGTTAGTACTTCATATCTTAGATCTTACTACGATTAAACCTTCATTTGATTTAGCTAAATAGGAATTTGTGAAATCTGTCCTTGCACAAACACTTGCTATATTAGATTACACTACCATAAGTAATGCTGGGTCCATACTTTATATCTTAGATATTACTATTTTTAGACATTCATTTGATTTTGCTAAATTGTAATTTGTGAAATCTGCACAATGACTACAAGAAATTGATATTGTGAAACTGGATATTGAATATTAAGATTCTAAACACAATCATACGACCACAACTATTGCTGGGAAATAGTTAGTACTACACATATTAGATCTTACTGTAGTCATACCTGAATTTGAATTGCATAAAATTGATTTTGTTAAATTCAGATCTTGCACATCGCCAAGACTCTATACACTACCAATACTCATTAATTTGAACTTGAAATCTTAGATCTCTGTTGACTTCAATTTTACTGGCATTTATCTTGTTATATAAGATTCTATTCTGGAAATTTAATTCAATGAAGAACATATTTCTAGCTTGCATGATTATTCCAAACCGGTTTAATCAAATCAAGTTTGCTTAATATTGATTTTATGGATGAAATAACCCTGTTTTGTAGATGACTAAACCTAAAAGAGGAGGAAACAACAAGGGAAAGAACAATGATCCCATAAAATACAAAAACAGATGCAACAAAGAGTCTAAAAGTACATGGAAATGCAATGTGTGCCAGGGAGAATTTGACAAAAAGTTGGTTGAAACATCAGAGCACACAAAAGCCTGCAATGCAAAAAAGGTTAGTTCAACGGTTTGATAATGCATGAAGTTGCATGTTTGAAATGGTTTATATATTTATGTGACATGAATTTAGAATAAATCTGCACATTGTGACTATCAGAACTTGTGAGAGTTCATGCATAAGTGACATGATAGATATAAAATCCAACGAAATGTGACTATCAGAACTTGTGTGAGAGATGCCTTCAAGACACTTGATAAAACAGAATACGAATGACTCCATCTTACATCATCTCAGTCATGATGGAGTGCATAACAAATTAAGATAAAACAGAACACGTCACTTTGCCTTGCAACATCTCAGTCTTATGACGAGGAAATGATAAAAGAACCAAATTAGTAAATACCAAATTAGTTTATGATAAATTAAAACAATCAATAGTTTCATGCATTGTTGATTAATAACCACACTATATAAGGTTCTATATATTCATGTTTTCCCATTATGACTCGTTTTATCTTTAGGACATAGAATACCTGTTTAAACGAGTTTGTGTAGGGCAAGTGTTATACAAATTTACAAGGAAATTTGGATAAGCATGTGGATTGGATTAGATGTTTGGATTGGAATTAGATGGTATTAGAAATCTCTCGTGTGAAATTGGTTAAATCACACATCATATGTTGTGTATTTAGCTAATTATGGCAGCCTGCCATTATTGGTCCTGTTTTATATTCTCTATTCTTGGATCCTATCCTTTTTAAAAGAGCTCTTACAGCTTCTGATTTATTAAAACAGTAAAACTATATAACTATATACAGTACCATACATTGTGGATGAATCACCAACACTATAAAGGTCAGATATATTCTTGTTTCTCCATTAGGACTCATTATATTCTTAAGAATACTTGTTTAAGCCAATTTGCAGTGGAAGTGTTTTAGAACTTTACAAGGGAATTGGATAAGCATTTGGATTGGATTAGATATTTGGTTTGGATTAGTTGTTATTAGAAATCTCGTGTGACTAGAAATTGGTAAAATCATTTATCATTTGTTGACAATATTTAGCTAATTATCATAGTCAACAGTTAATGTTCCAGTTTGAATTTACTCTATTCTTAGATCTTATCTTTTTTAAGGAGTTATTCTAGCTTCTGATTTGTTAAAACAGTAAAACTATATACAGTTAATTGCATTTTGGAAGAATGACCAACACAATATAGGTTCCACATATTCATGTTTCTCCATTAGGACTCATTTATCCATAAATGTAGAATACTTGTTTAAACTAGTTTGTGTAGAGGAAGTGTTATACAAATTAACAAGGAAATTGAATAAGCATTTGGAATGGATTAGATGTTTGGATTGGATTAGCAGTTATAATAAATCCCTAATGTGACTATAAATTGGTTAAATCATATATCATATGATTAGAGTATTGAGCTATTTAACACAGACAGCAGTTATTGTTCGTGTTTGAATATACTCTATTCTTGGATCTTATCTTTAGTCATTAGATGTGATAATGCCAAAAGTAACTCACTACTAGATTAGGATCTTAAAAAGTGGTAATTACACTTGTTTCTTCTCTTCGTTGAACAAACTATGCATGCTTAATTCATATTTTGTAACTCTGTTTATAACTAATAATTCATTTGTTTGAAATAGAAAATTGCAGACAAGGCAGCTGCAAAGGCTGCAAAGGCTGCACAAGCTGCTCAAGCTGCTCTTAAGAAGAAGAAGGTTGTGAAGGGCAAGAAGTTGTTTTAAAAAAAAATTGAAGAACTTCTGTCCCCTCTGATCACTTTTGGATAGAGGATGAAGGTAAATAAGCCCTACAACAATTAAGGATTTTGGACAATTAACCTTTGAATTCCAAGTTTGTTTAAGATGATGTTTTAATGACTTTTTAGTATGTGTATTGATGTTAAAAATACTTACTTTTTAGTATGTGTATTGATGTTAAAAATACTTTCTATGAGATGTTACGAGAAAACACATAATATAGAATTGTGTTTAAGATGCATGATGCCGTGATTGCTAGTATAGAATTGTCAAAAAATGTCAAACAAAACAAATGACCTGAACAATGTTTACAAGCTAGATTACATAATTTGTTTTACAGAAATTGACATACCTCTGAATAGGATCGGTGTACATGTTTCAAAATTGTTGATTCCAAAATTCTGGAGATGAAAATCAAAACATTGATGAGTAGATAGATCGACAAATAGTCACAAAATACGGATTATGAATGATAAGATAGAATTATACAACTAACAACAACACTTAGATAAGTAGCATAGACTCAATGACTCACAAAGTAGAGAAGCACAATAAAAATCAAAACTTTTGGGAAATATAGGAAAAAGTAACAATATTTAAGATCTAAACGCAGAACAAAACAATTATTCAACATCAAAAAATTATTGTTTCAACAATACATGATACAACGAAAATAAATAATTCATTTTTGTTGATAAAATTTAATCTACACGGGAGAAAAAGAGGCGAAATGTTCTTTTACAAACGAAGAGAACAAATTAATTTCGTTTGTAAAAATTGCAAAGTTTTGGTTTATGACATATAGAACAACGAAGGAAAAACCAAATCTCAAATAAGTAGATCTACAATTAACCTAAATATTCCGTATATCAAATAAAAAAAAATCGGATCTACAATGAATTCTAATATTAAATATATCAAAAAATCAAAACTTTTGAGATATACATTGAATTCTACAATTCAACTATTCAACATGTCAAAAATCAAAACTTTAGAGGAACACAACAAAAATCTAAACTTGAAGAACTTATAGAAACTCAAAATTCTACCATTCAATAGATCAAACATCAAAAATTTAGATGAGCACATCAAAACTCTAACCATATAGAAAAATAAGGAAAAATAACATTGAATTTTCTCAAGAAGGATATGAAAAATCACAAATCTAGACATACCGTGTGTTCTTCTTGATTTTAGATCGAAGACAAACATGAGATCGATTAACAATCTAGATCTATTAATTTGTTTATATTTTTGAGAGAGGAGAGAAAAGCAAGAAGAAGAGATTAGGTCACAAAGTACAACAAATAGTCTGTGGCTTGTGATTGTACTTTTTTTCTGAACCTAACCTATAATACTTCGTGTGTTAGATTATTTATTTTACAGTCCTTTTCTTTATCTAAAATATTAACTTAAGCCCCTTCTACCTAATAAATAAATAAAGGATTTATTAAATTATTTTACATATTTTTGGCGTCTTTATAGTTGATTGGACATAACAAGTCCCTTTAATAGAAAAGCCTTGAAAAAATAGAACTTTAATTTAATTGAATTTAACGAGGTAGCTTTTTCAGAAAAAATAAATAAAATTATAACAGAGAATCCAAGAAGATATAGGAGTCTTTTGGAAATAGGTAGGTAGGTAGGGTTTTTTTTTATGGGCTTCAAAATTTTGAACACTAGGCCCAAAACATTTCTTTTTCATTAAAATAAAAAAATTACATAAATACACTTATTAGTTTTTTATAATCTCTAAATAAAAATTATCATTTAAAAGAAATAAAAAAAATTCTCTCGGATAGTCTTATGTCCTCTTGAAGTCTATTGATATATCCGAATTCCACAGATTTAAAGAGATTTTTGTAATTTTTTAAAAAAAATAGGTAAATTATCAAAAAAAAAATAAAAAAATACTACTACATTACGCTATATTTTTTATTTTTATTTTATTACTATCTATTTTTATTTTTATTTTATTACTATTAATAAGAGTGATTAGTGAATGTGAGGAGAAATTGACGGAAATGCTCAAAGAGGCTATTTTTGTAATTTAACATGAAATAAGTAATTCAATTGGTTAATTAAAGGAGTAGTGTGGTTGCGATTCAATTTTTTGCATCTATTGTACTAATTTGTCCCTCAGAAATGCAAATACTCCGTATAACTTGAGCCCCTTCACCTAATAAATAAATAAATAAAGGGTTTCATTTGTGCACAATAATAGTATGTTATTTCGTAATTAATTTTTTCTTTTTATTTAAACGTGGAAAAAGATCATTAAGAATATTAAAATTTTAATCTAATTAAATTATATTATATATTCTTAAAAAATTTATATTTAATCAAACTAATAGTACTTCGTATTTAAATTATTTTTCCGTTTACCATAAAAGACGCCTTAGAGAAACCAAAACTTTATCTTTGATTGGACCTTTATTTAGAAAAGCCTAGAAAAAGAGGGAACTTTGACTTTGATTGAAAGGTAGCTTTTCCAGAAAAAAAAAAATAACAGAGAATCCAAGGAGATAAATTTTGGGAATAAGTAGGTTCAATTTATTTCACTAGGCCCAAAACATTTCTTTTTTATTTAAATTTAAAAAAATACTAGTACTACATTCTCTATATTTTTTATATTTAAAAAAACATATTACTACAAATTTGGTCGATGGCGATGGAGCGGAAAAGTTTGGGCACTATCGGCAAATTAAAATATTCATTGAAAATTAGGACAAATAATTAATAAACATTTAATTAAGTATAAACATCAACTCTTAATTAAAAGAATGAATTAGTTAGACATATAGTACTAACATGTGGCTATTAATTTTAAATATATTAATAATGTGAGTTTTAATTATACAAAATTAGTTATGAATAATTTTAAGAGGAATCTAGAGGAGGGTGTTTTTGGAATTTACTCTTTATTATCTTTTACTATTTTATTTAATTTTGTAGAGTTATGCATTTGGCACGTATATGTTTTTGCTTTTTCCTTCAAACCTTTCCCAAAGCTGTTTTTGCTAAAACACCAATTTCTACCATCTTCCATCCTTGCCCTCTATATTATTTTATTCTACCCTCATATGATATTTAGAAATATATATTAAAAATCTAAATTTCAAAATTTTATTTTTGTTATATAAATTGAAACCGTGAAAGTAATATATATTATTGGTCACAATAATAAATAATTTATGATATTCAGAAAACATATTAAATTTTTTGTTTTACTTGTCAATTTCACGTGTGCTATATAAATTGAGATAAAAGGAGTAACAATATTATTTGACAATTAAGTTAAAATTATCATAAATTATAATAATTAACAACTCAATTTTTTTTTTAAATATTGAAAATTTGGTTGATTCTGAAAATTTCATGTCCGTAATAAATTGAGACAGAGACAATAATATACATCACTTGAAAATTACTTTAAAAGTATTATAAATCATATAATTTAAAATACTTAAAACTTAACAACTTTAAATATTTTTAAAAATTTATTTGACCCTCAAAACTTTATATTTGTCCCATAAATGGTAACAAAAGAAGTGACATATATATATTTTTTAAATTACATTAAAAGTATGACAAAGTATAAGAATAAACATCTCGTTTGCTTGGGAACAAGTTATTCTAGAATAAATTATCATAGGATTAGTTATTCCGGGATAACTTATCCCACCACTATGGTTTAAATGGTGGGATAAGTTATCATAAACATGACAATCAAACAAGAAACCAAACTTTAATCCCAGGAGTGCAGAACTATTTTCTTATCCCAGGACTATTTATTTTTATCCCTCACACCAAACGACCCTTTAACGTATTTAAAAATCACATAAAAATTTGGTAGACTTTCTTTATTTCATCTTTGCCACGTAAATTAAAACAAATTAAGTAATATATATTAGATCCGTACTTGGACAGACTTTTTAAACTAGTTTGACATAAGTCATAAATTTAATTTAATATCATCAAAAAATTAAAAAGTTTTCTTTATTGTTCTAATTTTTGTTAAGTTACCCCCCCCCCCCCCCTCACACCA